CAGAAGAAGGTGCACGTGTACTGAGCAGTTAATTTTTTTACGGGTTACGGTTTAAATAAAAGTTTTTTGTATTGCGTCACTATATTCTGTCTAGTCTGTTTAGTTGGAATATCAACCCACACATTTTCTAAAGTTTCAGAGATCTTGTTTGTTATCGTCGGTGTTTGTACTGGTATCATCGTAGTCATTTGAGTCGTTATTGTTTCATTACTGAAATATATTATCATTTCAGGCATTGTCAGTACTGTTGTCGTTGGTAGGCTTATTTGAGTTTGGATAACAAGAACATCATATAACAATACTTAGGAACCAATATCCAAATAACTTCCTGACAAATGCAGTGTTAAAATTTTGTTATCGATTAACGATTCTGATGCATCGGTAGATGAATAAATAGTTGCCACATCGTGAGTTAGAATATTTTTGTCTTGATCTTTGTTGCACAGACTTGGCTTGGAAATGGACTGAGCGGTCTTATATTGCTTGATTGGAGAATTTCCGAGTCTGCGTTGGCCTGTCTGTGTGTAACAATATTGATCTGAGAAGACTTTCGTTTCAATTTTTATGTTTTTTTTTCTACCTGAGTTAATTTAAAATGTTTCTAAACTTTTCTTAGTTATGCCTTTAGAAATATTTATTCTTTCTTTCAATTATCACCGATTAGTCTTTCCAGAGTTTGCTGGACTCAATTTGAGTAATCCACATATTTCTTTGGAGGAGCCATCTGAAGAAAAAAATTTACTGTTGAATCTTCTTCCTAAAACACAATATGAATAAAATATTTGATGAAATGGCCGTAAACGTAAACTAAGACAGCATTCTATTTTCCGCCGCCGTATTCTTTCATACAATTTTAAGTTGGCCGAAAACTAAATAAATATTTCAGGATCAATCCAGTTTTCGGCCATCACCGAAATGGGTATTTTTGTTTCGTCACTCACTGTTCAAATTGCAGCAATTAGTGGCCGAAAACTGAAAGTTAGTGTCTACGCACGCTACGATTCAATATAAGTAAGAAAGATGAATTATAGTACGTAACCAAATAAACGAAAGAGAAAAAGTATTTAGGCTAAACTCAGGCTACTTTTCGGCCGCATGGCCGACAACAAACTTATGGGAAAATTTTATGTGTCACTTTTCGGCCACTTAATTTATTAATTTTATCAATAAAGTATTATAATAATCAGTATCACTTAACTGTATTAGGTTATTTATACAGTGAAATATAAGCAAAATATTAAGTAATTGTATTAAATACAGCACGAAACTTACTTTTGAATGGAACGCGCGCCACTATTTTTTTGCTCGATCTTACCCGTTTTGACAGTTTCTGTGCCGGTGTCGAACTAAACTATTTATTATAAATCGCGTGTTGTGTTTACCTGATTAATTAATGCTACCAGATATAGTGCAACTATTTACAAATGAATTAAACTTTATCTCGTACGATAATATTTATTAAAATTGTTATTAAATCAAATTTACTGCATTACCTCGTGCCGAAATCTAGACCCGGCCGGCTTACCGGTGCATCGACCCTATTGATAGTTATCGAGTGAAAAATATCGATATATCTTCATTTTTGTCAAGCGGTCAAGATTATTTATTTAGAGATTATGTATGAGTAATCTTGACTGTTTGATTGACATACATTTAAAAATTGTAAAAAATATACATACAGAATGATTTTGTGCTTTGAAGTTTAAAAAATCATTTAATAATACGAAAACGTCTTTGTGATCGTTCTGCAGCGGGAACTACGCAAATCAGTGGACGGTTTTAAAAATTGATACGAAGTTTATTTTACGAATTGATACTGTAAAATTAAATTAAATATAGAATATCGACATATTATTACGATTAAAAATATCGACGATATATATATATTCGCTATTTTTTGCGCAAGTCTAGATCACAGTGACATTTACCGAACCGACGTCTCAACACCAACATTTACCGGATCGCACGACCTTTCGCGTTCGAAGTATGTTTAACCTTTGCTCTCAGGCTTTACATTTCCGTGTGTATCTATCTACTCGTAGTGAATAGTTTTACTTCTTCGTGACATTTCGATGTGTAAGAATTTCATTCCATTTTACATCGCATGACAACATGATGGAATTTATTGTCACCAAAAGTTTTTCTTTTGTTTGGTAAAAGTAATTTATTATTTTGATGTGTTACTAGGGAAACGCTGCTATCAATCCCCCGTTTATACTTAACCTCAATTAATAATTCTTATTGAAAGTATTTTTAACCGACGACATTTAGTGGTCAAACTAGAAATTACTTTCAATAACAATCATTTTAAATCTATAGATAATAAAAATTATTCCATTCTATGTAACCTCTATCGCATCTCATAACACCCATGAAATTATATAGAGCAGGGGATTCTCCCATTACGCGGTACAAATGGAAACGATCATTCAGATATGCCCAGTTCACATTATTCCGTAGCATTCTAGTCCAGCGTTTGATTTCAATGCTGGAACGCCATTGGATTAATGTGAACCGGAATGCACTGGAATGTACGAATTCAAGTGAGCACAATCCAGTGCAGTGACTGGACTGCCGGTATAGTTTTTTATTCCAGCTCGCCCATTCCAGCTCCACTGGAATAGTCTAGACGGCCAATAAGAGTTTGGTCTGCAGTCATAAAAATATTTTGTGTGTTGGTTATACAGAGATAAAAAGGAAACAGTGACTTCTAGTTTTATTTTTGTAGGTATAGCATCTCTAAACAACGTGTCGCCACAGAATAAATAATAGTACTACGTAGTATCGCTACGTTGAATATTATTTTTGTTTGAAATAAGTGATAACAAATCCACTCAACTCAACTCCTCGAAGTTTTCCCCGTCATTCTTAATCTGTGTTCAGAGGGATCTTCTAACTCCAGCTGTCGCAAAAGCATTGTTGAGGCTCCTTTTATATTTCATTCGTTTATCCAATTTCTCACCCAAATCCGTTATTCTTTCTTTAGCTTTTCTTCCACTAAATCTTACATTAAAAAAACTTTAAAAAATCGAACTCCGTTCTTGAAAGCATTGTCACCATAGCGCTAATACCGATTCAACAGCTTTCGAATAACTGGAATAATGTAAACGATATAATCCAGTCCAACTGGACTGACTCGCTGGATTATTTGACTGGAATAATGTGAACCGAGCATTGGCTTCGTCAGACCTAGTCAGACTACTTGTCTCAGGTAAACATACTCGTCAACAACTTCGAGCTTAGTGCTTCCAACAACGACCGGCATAGTTGTGACATGGACATTACACATGACTTTTGTTTTGTCCATGTTCATCTTATAAGACCATTGGGAAATACTATTGAGGTAATTGAGCATAGTGCTTAGGTTCTCCAGCGATTCTGCCATAAGGACTATATCGTCGGCCGATAAGTAACTGACCGTACTCAAATTGTGCATTTCAAACTGTCTGGACATTATGAATAATGCCCTTTAAATCATTAGGTCCATAACATATTATGTTTACTGATGCGTCACTTTAACTGTGATTTCTATATTTATCATTTTATTCATCTTTTGTTCTTTTTCTTGCAGGCCTGAGTCATGGTGGGTTTCGGTGGCGCTAAACGCAATCCGGGCGGTCGTGCTCGTCTGCGACATCCTCACATTCCCCGTGCACCTCATCGTACAGAGGCCATGGAAAAAGCGCGAACTCTCACGCAGAATAAAGGTAAAAAGAGAAACATAATTACATAAAAAATTACTTCAAAATAAAGGACTTTTGGTAACTTTAGTTATGGAGCTATAAGTCCGCGTGCTGCCCCCAGTGTGTGTTGGCGAAGTTCACGTGTAATGTCTTTGAAATATTTTATTTATCAGACGTGCAGACATGCTTCTATTTACCATCAGGTGGACAGTGTGCTCGTTTGTTTCCCTTATTCTATAAAATTGTTTGAACGATATTTTAACTAACTTTTTGCTATAGCAGTTACATTAACACCTACATAAGCTTCCTAACTCTTGCTTATAGGCGCGCGTCATAGAATCGACGCCTACCAGCGTGACGGTGCGCTCCGTATCAGAACCATGCGACCTCCACTTGCGGCTGATCCGCGACGGCGTCACAACCATGGAGAGCATGCTACGCGCCTCCGCCCAGCGCTGGGCCCAGCGCCGTTGCCTCGGCACGCGCACCATACTGGGCGAGAGAGACGAGCTCCAGCCTAACGGACGAGTCTTTAAAAAGGTAAGGAGGAAATTAATTCATCGATTTAGTTGACGATCGGCATTTCGAATGTGGATTGTAAAACCTACGTATATATTGCATCAAAATTGAAAAAATGTATATCCATTGAGTTATTTTATAGTAATTGTTCCACCTCATTTTATATATTTGTAATTGAGATATAAGAGTTAAGGCATTCCATGTTAGCTATTCAGACAACACATATGCATTTTGATTCTTAATCGAGGATACATGTCTATGGGCCACAGTATCCACTTGTTATTACGTGGACTATGTGCTCGTTTGACACAATAATTCTATAAAAAAACCTACGAGACAAAATTCGTTCGCCAAACGTAGCCTACCTCTATATCTATATCATAAAGGCAAAACGTCTTTACAATTGGAGAGGCCTTTATCCAACTGTGAACTTAGAGTAAGAAGTGTGTATGGGATGTTGTGTTGAAGCGAGGGTTCAGTGTTAGGATGTGGTAGAGCCATGCTACATGTAGGTATATTATTATGGTTGTAGCACGAATGGGTCGGCTCGACAAAGGAAGGACCACGTTCTCACGGAATACCTAGTATACTCTAATGTGCGGAATCCGACACCTTTTGCATGTGTATTTTGATTCTTTATAGTAAAAAAACTTACGTGACAAAATCTGGAGAATGAATCACAACTGGAGGTGCACATGTCCGGCAGTGAACGTAAGAGACCCTTGTCCAACAGTGGACGTACTGGAAGCGGTGTATATAGAATGTGGCATTGAAGGTGTGGTTCGGTGTTAGTTCAAGATGGGCGAGTACGTGTGGCGGAGCACGAGTGAGGTGGAGGCGGAGGCGCGCAAGTTCGGGCGCGGGCTGCGCGAGCTGGGCTGCGCGCCGCGCGCCAACGTCGCCATGTTCGCCGAGACGCGTGCCGAGTGGATGGTCGCTGCGCACGGCTGCTTCAAGCAGACCATTCCCGGTCGGTATACGCGCACACACACACGTATACGTACACACACATGCGTACACGTATACGCGAACGCACGAGTGCGCATATACGAGCACACCAATAATAATGTCGTCGAGACCGAATTTTGGTCGCGGCGACCAGCTCTGCGCAGGACACAGATAATAATGTCCTTCAGACCGAATTTCCTATCATCCGTAGATCCCAAATATTTTAGTTTTATAGAATTGAAATGACAAACGCACTTACAGTCCACCTAATTGGTTAGTATCTACTGCAGTTCATGAACATCACCAGCCCTCTTTAAATATGGTATATAAGTACTAATACGATATATTAAGTATTTAAGTATACTTATTATCATACTGGTTCTCTATAGCCTTCTGATCAGAATATAGCAGTGCATTCACGCTGTGAATTTCGGTCACGGCCAAAGACGCAATCACGAGCACGCACACACGAGTACACGAACAAGCACGATTTTTACATAGGAGATGTTGCATTAATGGATCGTCTCGTCCGGGGGGTCTTGCGCTGAATACCAGCGTGAAATACCGGCATAATCCTGCTGTGTTTTGTATGAGTGACGCCAACCGTAGACTTTTTACTGGTAGCAAAGCAGACATCTATGACCACAAGTGTGACAACGCCTCTTCATTTTGATACTTAACTGAAGATAAACGTCAATGTCTATGGGCCGCAGCATCCACTTGCCATCAAGTGGATTTTGAGCTCGTTTATCACCCTTATTCTATTTAAAAAAATTGTTTAAACTGTGTTGTTTGAGGAGACAAAAAGTTACACTACAATATTATTTAGTTTCCATGAATTATCAAACTAAGCATCTACTTCAATTATAAGCTAGTTAAAGTTACAGCCTATATACGTCCCATTACTGGACACAGGCCTCCTCTCATTTCTGAGAGGGTTTTAGAGCAAGGAAGTGTCCGCCGCGCTGCCCCAATGTATGTAGGCGAAGTTTACAGTCTTCTTAATATTTTATTTTTATTTTTTAGACATGCAGGTTTCCTTACGATGTTTTGCTTCACCGCCAAGCACATGGTAAATCAGCACTTAAAATTGCAATTAACAATTTCATTGGTGCCGGTGGGGATCGAACCCGGGTTGCTCGCGTACTGTCAAATTTACAGCGAGCGCTACCCATCTGAGCTACCACGACTCTTACTACATATTATTATAATTGTCTCAATTCCAGTGGTGACAATCTACGCGACTCTCGGGGACGATGCCATAGCGCACGGCATCAACGAGACAGAAGTGTCCACAGTCATCACTACACACGAGCTCCTGCCCAAGTTCAAGAAAATCCTGGCTAAAACACCCAAAGTGGACACCATCATCTATATGGAGGACCAACTGAAGACCACCGACAAAGAAGGATACAAGCCCGGGATCAGGATCTTGGGATACAAGGAGGTCGTGGCGATGGGCGCAAATTCAAAGATTGGTATGTCTTTCATTTTGGAACTTTACTGTGACAGCTTATGGTGGTATTAACAGTAGTTTTACTATTAAGACTACTGGGAAGTACTTTACTACTTTAATTTTCTACAACATAAACATCCTACAAGCTTGTGGGGGTGGCTTTGGAAATTTCCATTTCTCTGCCATCTGCATCTATTTACTTTGTTTATTCTCATTTCAAAATTTTATCAAAAGTCTTTCAGAGTAGTGGTGGGAGGTAGCAAGGCTCTAACAAGCAACTGATGTCGGAAATTCTATCCAAAATGCTATGCTAACTGAAATAATCTATAAATGTTGTGTGAAAAGGCGGAACCTAAATTTCCGAGGCTATGTGCACTCACTAACATAACTGTACAGCTTGGCAAGAATGAGCAGTCCTTATAAAACCATATCTATTGTTTTTTATTCAATATTTTAAAAAAATGATACACAAAGATGAAAAAAATTTCGCCCTCCAGCAGAAACCACACACGATTTATTTGCTGCTTGCTTATTAACCATAAACTACTTTTGGTACTAATGTTAAATATATACATTTACTAACAAATCACTAAGTATATAAATAAATTTGTAAATTTAAGATAAATCAGGCATGAACCCATCAAATCATGATACACAGTAAATTGTCATCTAATATATTATACTAACCTATAATAATACAAAACGCTATAGTATAGGGTTATTTTGCAATACCCGGCCAAATTTGCAGAAAAATTAATTTAAAAAAATCTCAAACGTTCTGTACTTTTATCTTTTAAATTCTAAATGCGCGGCATTGCATCAGTAAATAATCTATAAAAATCAATTACTGTCCGGTAGTACCGGTACTGGCGTAAAACTCGAAACTGGCTCGACCAATTCCGATGAATATTTTTATGTGTTTGTTTGGCTGGCTTGATGGTTTGGATTCACATTAGAGATGAGCCGAATATGCATTTCACCGAATACGAATATTCGGCCGAACGTTCGGTAAAATGTTTACCGAACCGAATATTCGGCCGAACATTATTCGGCAGGATCACCTCGGTACCTAATCAATTTATGTCGAAACTTTTTACCGTAAAGCGCGCGGAATTAGCGCAGGACCCCTCGCTCACCCGCCACACCTGACTTGTTATTATATCATCTAGTACTGAGCAAATTGCCGGCATATGCTTATGTTTGGAGTTTGGACTAAGTATTTTAGTCAAAAAAAAGTGGCAGAGGATCTACTATTTGGACTTTTTTTTAGAGAAAATCACGACTAAAGTAAAGTGAATTTTTTGGATTTGTGTTAAGTGAATTTTTTTTGGATTTGTTTGATTCCAAAAAAAACATTTTATCAAGCTTCCTATTTGCTATAATTGTAAATAAATCTACAGTGCCGCAAAAACGTAACTCTATACAAGTATATTTAACCCATAAATAAAATATACTTTCAAAGGTAAAATTATGAAAGACATGCAATTATTCAATTCGTACATTTCAATACAATGGACACTGAGTATCACTTTAACGAATGTTCGGTGATTGAGTGTGACGCTATGAATATATACAGGTTTTGTGATATCATTTCAGAGTGCGTGCCTCCTACACCTTCGGATACTGCCATCATCATGTACACCTCGGGTTCCACTGGTGTGCCAAAGGGTGTGGTGCTGTCGCACCGCAACATGGTGGCCACGCTGAAAGCTTTCGCCGATGCCATTCCAGTCCTAGATGACGATCTGCTCATGGGCTTCCTGCCACTCGCCCATGTCTTCGAACTGCTGGCCGAGTCGCTCTGCATCATGGGAGGTTAGCTTCGTAATCTACACCTTCACGATGATCATATTTTCACATATATAGGAGCAAACAATGCATTCATGTATTTATGTAATAGAAACTCCAAAGTATATGCATCATAAAATCGGTTTATTTTTGGCTAGTGTTATACTAGCTACTATTTATAACAATATCACCTATAATATTACTGAGTTGCCTTCACATAAATTTAAGGCGCATGTAAAAAGCATTCTAATGATAAAAGTTACCAATTTAGGTGATTATTTAAAAAATAAGAATGCTGGTCATAATAACCCGCTTTTTTATATATATAGAATAAGGTTGACAAACGAGCACACAGTCCACCTGATCGTAAGTGGATGCTGTGGCCCATAGACAGATGTGACCATGACATCCTCGATTAAGAATCAAAATACATATGTGTTGTCACCCTTGAGGACTACGATAGTATGATTCTTTTCCAGTAAATAGGGCCTTAGGCTCTCTGCATTCACCATACGAAACGCAGATCTATAGGCTGCTATTTTACGCTGGTATTCTGTGTGTTTAACCCGGTCGAGCCAACCCATTCATGCTACAACTAATATAGCTGCAGTGTGTCTCTACCACGCTTTCTTAGATTCTCTTTATTTGTGTATTATAGTAACTGTTGGGATAAAATAGTCTACTTGTGAGTTCCTTGCCAAAAATTTTTACAATACTTCCTGTAGTAAGGACTTCTTAAAATCTGGATAGTAGATGGCGTAGCTTTTTTGACTTTCCAAAAGCTTTTTTAAGGGCCAATTTTGAATAAAAATAATTAGTCTTTGACTTTTGACTGACTAACCTATGAGGTTACATCCAAACACTTACATATTTGATATTAAATGTTTAATGTGGCTCATAGAAAAATACATCTATCATCAATTACGAGTCAAAATAAAGATGCTGCGGATGGGTTACTTCATTACCAGTAAAAAGCTTCGTTGTTTGTCTACCCTCACCATACAATATACAGCAGCATTATGTTGCATTTTACGCTAGTATTCTGTGAGAGCGTGATCCTCTTGCAGTCAAGTCGCCCATTGAAGGTCGAGCAGTTAATCTGCAGCATATATTTACCATATCTTTTGTATTTGTATTCACTTTCATCTTTGATACAATCAATTTACGCACAATAACACATATAATTCATAAGTTTAACTGTATAATAACATTTTATTTTCAGGTGTCCCCATTGGCTACTCCACACCTTTGACCATGTTGGATACATCTAGCAAGATCATGAAGGGTACTCATGGCGACGCCACTATACTTAAGCCAAGCTGCATCACAACTGTTCCTGTAAGTTATTAACTACCTTATTTAATTTACTACAGAGTGTATATATGCACTTTGCAGCATATCACATAGTCGTAGTAAAAACAGAATAGTATGATTTGTTCTAAGAAATGTATCGAACGTCGCTAATATGTATGCGTGCCTAGCACGTGATAGTACGCACTCGTATGCACGAGCCATAGTACGAACACAACGATACTTGACATTAAATCTGAGCTGACACTATATGCCCAATGTTAATTCACTCGTATTTTAGTTATTTAGCATTTGTTGTAATGTAAAGCTGGAATTTTTTTTCACACACATTGATTCTGTGAGAGGAAACTAAAGAAAAGATTAACAAATATGATGCATAGGTACGTATCCGTATGTATTATGTTTGTAAATATTATAACTACTTATAAAACTAAATGAGACTGAGCTGTTAAACAAAAAGATAGTGACGACCCAGCAACAGTAGACGGTTGCTGGTGCGGGAGAATCTTACTATTCTGTTTTTACTATGACATCGTGTTGTAGGAGGGTACATTAGTGGGAATGTGGTTACGATAGCTTTTAGTGATGAAGCACTACGGGCATTAACACGATTATATTCAGATAGTTCACTCCCATTCGAGTGCTCCTAATGTGCTAAGATAATGTAAACCGGCCATAATATGTAACCATTTAATTTATGTTTTTTTAATAATATTTTCCTAGTTCAACCACAGTGACTTGAATTCTGAAAGCTTTTATTTAAAGATGTTTATAGGCTTTATTGGTAGTTAAAAAATACGAAAAGATTTATAATTCTGTTGTACGACTCTGTTTTTGATTCTTATCGAAATATTAAGAGTTATTTGCGTCTCTACGCTAGGCAAACCTCAACAAGTCGTTACAAATTCAAATGTGTGGATAGAGTATTTGGCCTTAGTCTGCGTAGGTTTGCAAGCGCTTGTAGCCGATCTGTCGAGTGTCGGTTTTTGTCTCAAATCAAAGGGAGTTTGCCGCAAGCGCTTGAGATTGAGACGCATTCACGCGTTTGTGAGTAACCTACTCGGTCTCATTTGTGTACTGGTGGCGAAAATAAGTACTCAAAATAATTTTATAACTACCTGGTACAGTATTTATGAATTCTAAATATCCACCATTTTCTTTGCCGTATTTTTCGTTTATTTTCACTTGTTTTCTTGCATTTATAATGCTTCGGCCGCACCTGCGTGTATCGTTCCGAAGTAATGCCGAATCTTTGTACGTTTTGACATTAAAAAGTTATCGCGATAAAAGCGATGGTCATATTAGCGGCTTTGAAATTTTGCATGAATTATCGTGCAATAATCCAAGATGGCCGAAATCATTTTTCAAACGTTTAACTATGGACGACGAATTTCTTTACTTCTACGTGTGTGCTAACAATTACATAATGCATTTATTCAAATCTAAAAAGAAGAAACCTAAAATCTAAAAAAAGAAATTCCGGTACCATTTCATCACTCCACTCCATTTTTACACAGCCATCTGAATGCGTCTGAACTGATCGAAAACAACGGCCGAAATGAACAACGCTAGTCTGACCAGGCAGCGCAATATGTTGATGCGCTAAAACCCTTTGAAGTACCGCCACCCGCGCAATAACACGCAGGTTAATTGTTCACAACGATAGCCTATAATAGGCGGTCACATCTGCGTGTATCGTGTCGCTTTGTGGCGATAGACGCAGATACGGCCCTAGCATAATAAAAATAACTTAAGCAAAATGTTATGATTGACACCACAACCTCGATGTCCGTCATTCTTACCTATTCAGAACAAACTTGATTCCTAAAATCAATTCAATCGGTTGTAGAACCAGTGCCAATCGTGCGGACGCGGCATATGATATAGCATATGTTTTAAATATAATTTGACATTTATATTTGAAATCGATTTTGTAGATGTACGAATTCGATTCGATTTACGAATTCGGTTTGTTTTCTTGTAAAAACACGTTTAAAAGTTATAAATGATTGGTAATTGGCAGCTGATAATGGACCGCATCAGCAAGGGCATAACGGAGCGCGTGTCACGCAGCGGGCAGTTCGCGGGCGCGTTCTTCAAGTGGGCGTACGTGTACAAGTTGGGCTGGCAGCGGCGCGGCTACGACACGCCGCTGCTTGACCGCGTGGTGTTCGGCCGCGTGCGCGCGCTGCTGGGCGGCCGCCTGCGCCTCGCCATCGCGGGCGGCGCGCCCCTCGCGCCCGACACGCACACGCAGGTACGCACGCACACACGCGCCGACTTAATGCACGTACATACAAACGTATATAAAGGTATACTTACACACGTGCCCGAAGATATACTTACCCGAAACCCGTACACGCGGCATAGCGTCGTACGCAGATATACATACACGCACTTGAAGGTACTCGTGTACTCTCTCTACTCCAGATCCTCTGCCGTCTCTTATGACACCCAAGAGACGATATGAGATAGAGGATATCCTTACAGCGCCATTGCACGGTATACGTATTTGAAGGTACACGTACCAGACGCACGCACACGTAGGAAGGGTGCAGGTACGTGCGTCGCACTCACGTACACACACGCATTGTAGGTAGACCTGCTGGAAGCACGTACATGCAGGTACATGTGCATACACGCTTTACACATTAGTGTAGCTTCGTGTTTGCGATATGTGCTGTTAGTTGTTTATCGTTAGTTGCTTATAAAGCTGTAATACAGTTGGCCTGCGGTAATCCGACAAACATTTTGCAAGACGGTGTATTATTACCAAAGTCTACGGAAGATATTAATAGTTACTTTGCAACCATCAGCTCAATAAAATAAAATAATGTGTCTTACCTAGTTTGAAGAGCACCTCCCGCCTTCCCTCAATTATGTGTACTAATACCAGCATCACCACTTCCAACACCACTACTCCCAACACCACTATTATAGGAAAGACACACTATCGACGATAATACGATATACGATACGTGTTTCGCCTCTACACGAGGCATCTTCAGGTGATGTAGACTCTGCGGTGGCTGACCGCTAAGTTTTACGGTCGGCGAAATTTAGACGGACTATAGAGTACTGCCACAGCCCCTTAGTAGTCCAGATTTTTTTGAAAGAGTTACTTGTAATGATATATTACATATAAAATAATAAAAAATTCACGTGATGCACAATGAACAACTAAAACAACTAACTAATCAGTAAATGATGTATGCCCGTTAGGCTGCAATTATAGCAACAATAGTTATTTAAACTGGGACAATTGCGCGAACTGATTGCAAACTGTTTATCCACGTATTCGCGAAGAACATCTCTCCCCATGGCGGTTCATAACGCGACTCGGTTGTACCTATATGTTGAAGGCATTTTGGATTACAAGGGGATACGGATTAGCCGGAGGCCGGATTGCTGGAGATTGAATTTACCGACTTCATGATAACTGTATGATGAAGTTGATAAATGTTGGGTGTCGACGTGACGGTGGTGTGGCGTGTCGCAGCTGCGGCTGTGCCTGTGCTGCGCGGTGGTGACGGGCTACGGGCTGACGGAGACCACGTCGGCGGCCACCGTCATGTGCATGCACGACCGCTCCACGGGCCGCGGCGGCGCGCCCGTCACCGGCGTCGACCTGCGCCTCGTCGACTGGGAGGAGGGCCACTACCGCGTCTCCAACAAGCCCTACCCACAGGTACACCTATACATATATCTTACACACTTCCTCAAGAAATATCATATTTTATCTAATTAAGTAACATTTTTTGAAGTAAAACTCTCTCTCTCTCTCTCTCTCTCTCTCTCTGTCATAGACAGTCTTAACGCATAGGCCGCGTTAATAGGTAATTTATGGAACCAGCTGTTAATTAATAATTACAATTTTCATATTTCGCAACTGACAGTTTCTCGCTTTTTTACGTTTATTGTAGCATTGGCTACGAAACTTTCAGCCATATTTTTTTTTAATGTTATTTAAGGTAACAAACAGTCATGTAAAAAGATAGTAATAACATGGATAAATATTAATGTAACTAAAGACCTACAGTGCCTTTAACTAAACGTTTACAATATTTTAAACTTATTGAGCCACTTTTAGGACTAAAGGACATTATTTTATTTATTTATTAATACTCTAAGTTTTAAGGTAATTAACATTTTGTGTGCAATGAAGGAAAAGATAGAAGAAAAACCTATGTTAAAAATTTGATTATTATGCTCTGACAAATTCAGATTCAATTTGAGTGCTGCAACATTTTCAGTGATGGGTAACGATTATAAGTAGTAACGATAAGATTATTCACCAGCCAAACTTTGAAAGAGAGTGGATTTAAGCTTTCATACTGATGTTTTAAATAAATCAATATTTGTGAATTTTTTATTGTAAATGTTAGTGGAACGACACACAATTGAGTTACGTGTATCATTTTTATGATATAGTGGAGTTACGAAAAGTGGTTCTGGACGGGAGGGCCGCACTGGCAGTCGGACTCAGGAAACCAATGACAATCTGCTAAGTAACAACGAGGAGGCGACTAGGTTATTAATAGTTTTGTATAGAAATACTATGTCAAACATTTTACGCCTAAAGACCGATTTACACTTCGACAAGTACAGTAGCGAGTTTAGTTACAGGACAGTTGACAGTAAACGGTTAAGTGGACAGTAGCGTTCAAACAATGTCTTCGTGGTGAGTTTAATTAAGAACATTAGTTCATAGAGTTCGTTGGAATATGACGTTTCAAGACTACAGAAGTTTTCCGGTTCGTTTAAGATGGTTCTAGGATTACGTCAAGAATTAAATGATCCAGTCAGAGGACTATTAATGGTTGTTGTTAAAGAAGTTTTTAAGAATTTTCATGAGTGCAGCATTTCAAGCAGGTTTAATTTTACAATTTGAACTTCGTAAACATTCGTGTTCTAAATACTCCTGTACAAATTTATACATAATATCTTCCGTCCATATTATTATTAAAACTCAATATAAAACGTATAAATATTCAATAAACAGTATCGTACAAACTTTGTGGCGAGTTTAATTATAAAAGTACAATTATACGTTTTGGCGCGTAAACGTCCTGTCAACTTATGCACTGAACTACACTCGCTCGTTTACACGAACGGCGAGTTTAGTTGCGGGTGGCGGGAGACGCGCGAGAGGGCAGCACTTCGCACTTAACTCGCCGAAAAATAGCTCGGCCGGCTATCCCGTTTAACTTAACCGTTATCTTGCTACTTAACTCGCTTATTGCCGTTCTAACGAGGTTCAAACTTAACTCGCCAGGTTTGCTAGTTAACTTGCTACTGTACTTGTCGAAGTGTAAATCGGTCTTATTGCAAAGAGAAAGTAAATTGTACTTTTTTAATGAATCTCTGTATGATTGATTTAAAATATTTTGGCGATAATTTAGGGATTTAATAAACAATGTTTGAACTCTTTCTATTCTCCTAATATGAACTTCATAACAAAGGCTCCAAACAGTGCTGCAAAAATCAAGTAAAGATCTGACAAAAGAGAAGTATAAAACTTTTAGAGTTTCGGGACGTTTAAAGGGATACTTATTCGTAGTATAAAACCTAGATTTCTAAAAGCCGAAGCTAATATGTGCTCAATATGTGGAATAAATGATAAGGTCGAATCCATAATTATGCCTGGGTCCCTGATTGTGGTTACTCTATTCAAGGCCTTCTGATTTATGTGGTAGTCGTAAGTAACTGGATTTTTGCGAGTATACGATATTATGTAGCATTTATCGCTGTTTAGAAACAGATGGTTGGACTCACAGTAATCGGTGTAAGTCTTTTTGGAGTTTGTGGCAGTCACTAATTGATCTAATGGTTCGATACAACTTAGTGTCATCAGCATACAAGAGATGGTGACTATATTTCAGGACATTACCAATGTCATTTATGTAGACTGAAAACAGTAAAGGTCCAATATAAGACCCTTGAAGCACACGCGAAGACACTGAAAGAAATCGTGAGGAATAACCCTTTACAAAGACTGCTTGACTCCTATTACTTAGGTAGAATTGGATCCATCTAAGCAGGCTGCCATGCACACCGGCCCGTGCAAACTTCTTGCAGCGGATCGCAGATCGTGATTTATTTTATCGAAAGCTTTGGAAAAGTCGATGTACACGGCATCCACCTGTATATGGCACGCAACAGAAAGTCATTAAAAGTTAACATATTGGTGTCAACGCTACGGCACTTAAAAAACCGTGTTGTTCCTGGGAAATGCGATTACGAAACGAGTACGACATTTGAACGGTTACTATCTTTTCTAAGTCTGCCAAAGATACAAAATTTCGATATAGGTCTGTATTCGTCTATACATTCACGTCTCTATTTTTTTGGAATGGGGGTTACTAAAGACTCCATAAACTGGGAAATGTCCCCGTTTTGACAGAGAAATATATATAATATATAATGAGTGTTGCAAATTCTTTGGCACATTAGGATATGAGAAGATGATGGATCACGTCGGGCCCTGTACCTTTATGAATATTTACTTGTTTCAGTTCTTTGATAACATTATCGTGGTAGATTTTAATAGAATGTATGTCTACGGCTGAACTGCCTGAGTACGAAATTGTATGAACAGAACTTTCATGGGTAGAAGAATACATCAATCAAACTGTAAATTGTTGTACAAATGTACTACCTCTAGATGGATCTGTAATTAATGAAATTAAAACTAAACCAAGCATTCCATTGCATAACCTCTAAAACCCAGTCAACTCATTCTGCATATATTGTTCCAAAATTAATAATTAAAAATACTGAAGGTACTCTGAGTTAACTTCGATATCGGGACGTCAATCAACTCGGTCCCCCGTGACCATGGGTGCTGTAAAGCACCCGAAACGTCGGGGATTAAAAATAAGGAAATTAAACGCGATGAAATCTATAAAAATAGTATAATAGCAATGTGTAAATATAGTTTGTTAAGTAACAATAATGATCTTTGTGTTTTCCTTTTTTGCAGGGCGAAGTGGTGATCGGCGGCGACAATGTGGCGGAGGGCTACTACAAAAACCCGGAGAAGACGCGTGAGGAGTTCGTGGAGATGGACGGCCGCCGCTGGTTCCGCTCCGGGGACATCGCCGAGCTGCATCCCGACGGCTGCATCAAGATCATCGGTCAGTATTTGCCCGTACTCCTGACCTTTACAAGGTAGCTGGGAAGGGGTAGATATGGCCCTGTCCATTATATTTATTGATTTTATTATTTTGTTTAATCGTTATTAATAAGTTCGTTAGTTAACAAGTTCACTGCTAAACATAGGTTTTTCCAAGAAATTCCACAAAGCACGGTACTCAACTACATGCATTAATCTACTTTCTTTATCTTTAACTAAATCGTCATTTTATGTAGTGATGAGCCCATCTCACACACTTCTTTTATTGGTACGAGTCTCATTCGAGATTTTTTTTCTCTGATTCTTTGTGTTATGTTTGGTTTTTTGGTTATTTTATGGATATCCTTATTACGAAGCCATCATCCAGACAAGATCGGAGTATAACACTTTATAGCTTGTTGAAAGACTTCCTATTACAGTATATATTATGTAAAAGCTTATTGCTGAGTACCTCCTCATATCGCTTCATAACGGGCATATTTGCTGTATGGTTCTGACGCTTTACAGGCGAGTTGATAACTGTAGTTTTTTTTTAGTTGTTATTAGTTATTAGAAAAACACTGCTGCCCGTTTACTGTTTGGTTTTGTTTTGTCGTTACTTACGATACCTATGGTACTTAATGAAAATTTTATTACTTAGTTGTCGTTATAGGATTTTTGGCCCATTTCCTGTTTTTTTTTCTTGTAAGTCACTTCTGATGTCTACGGGATGATATAGGATAGTGGATAGATATTCTTACACCACTAGAATATGATCATATTTAAAGTGGTATTTGTTTGTTATCGCAGATCGCAAGAAGGACCTAGTTAAGCTGCAAGCGGGCGAGTACGTGTCCCTGGGCAAGGTGGAGGCGGAGCTGAAGACGTGTCCCATCGTGGAGAACATCTGCGTGTACGGCGACAGTTCAAAGACGTACACCGTGGCGCTGGTGGTGCCCGAGCCGCGCAAGCTGGCGGAGCTGGCGGCGCGGCTCGGGCTGGCGGGCGAGCTGGCTGAGCTGTGCGCGCAGCCCGCGCTCGAGCACGCCGTCGTGCGCGAGCTGCAGGAGCACGCGCGCAAGTGTACGTACCACCACGCCTCTAGGCGTGGTTGCGGGCCCGTGTCGCCGTATACGCACCACTATACGCACCACTATATGCACCACTATACGCACCACTGTACGCATCAGCATACTATTACCATACGCACCAACACCATACACACAATTATCTTCTTTTTTATAGCGTTGGGTGACAAGCAAGCACACAGTCCACTTGATGGTAAGTAAATGCTGTGGCCCCTAGACATCCACATTTATCCTCAATTAAGAATCAAAATGCAAATGCGTTTTCACCCCCGAGGACCAAGATGAAATGCCTCGATTCCAGTAAAAAGGGTCTACAGTTCTTCTACACTCACCATGCAGTCTTACTGCAGCATTACGCTGCTATTTTACACTGGTAAAATTAAATATTCACAATACAACATGCATTCTCGTAATATTTATCAATAGTATACTAGTTTTTAATTCACTGTAAATTAATAGTTTCCCTATCCACCATATAGACAATAGTTAAACCAACGAAATACTCAAAAATGGACTCATGGAACAGCGTCACCACTACCCCATATCTTCCATTGATGTCGTAAAAGGCGATATAGGGAAACTATAACAGGAGACAGACAGCAACTTCATCCTGATGAGCAACTCAAAATAATTAAAAATTGCGATTGCCAACCCGCTTGCCAAACTTGGCAAGCTTGCAAAATTCCTCGTATGAGCCAATATATTGGAGAATCTCATGTTCAGCGGTTGACTTATAGGCTGTAATGAATGTATAGACATATCTGCAGGTTAACTCACATGACTGGTTTCATTTCATGCACTTTAAAAGATTTCTCTACAACAGTTCTTTAGCATAAACAATCGTAGAATGTTAATTTGGCTAGCCCTATATGCCTGCAGTACACTGCTCGCAAAGTTGAACGAAGTTGGGCAAAGACGAGTGTGTACAGGGACACTTCGCTTCACTTCGGGCAACCTCGCCTCGCCTCGGGTGCTTCCGATCGTTGTCGGTTTTTTCCGCCCGAGTCAAAGGACCGAAGTTTCGAGCACGAGGTGACCCTGTACATTACTCGACTTACTTCTATAAAGTTAACCTTGTGCTATTTAGTTTAAAAATGTTTTAATTCGATCCAAATTGCTTAAACCAAAAACGAATTGGTCATAAGAGCAAATACTATTGCTTTTGAAGTTGCTCCAAGGGGAAACGGTTATATGGGGTCCCTGGAAATTAGTATACATAGTTAAAATACGCAACAGTGCACAAAGCAAACACAACTGCCACTCGTACGGCCTCCATCTCGCCTAGCGTGTGAGCGACTAGTTCCTCACGAAGTTGAGGGAGTGTGTACCGAGGCTACGCGTACCTCATCTGACCTCGGTGAATACTTCGGGCAAGGAACTTCGCGAGTAGTGTACTGCAGCCTTTAGATATAAGCACACAAAACAAAGATGGAACTGACAAGTCTGTCCATTTAAGGCTGTGTTCCGAAAGTTTTCCAGTATATTGGCGAATGCAAATGACGTCGTTAATTGACGCCATATTGTACTGGCGTGCCGCCGCCATATTGTGTCGGATATCCCGCCATATTAAAACAATTTTTAAATGTGTGTACACTGAATGAAGCATGCTAGAATTTGTTTTTATTTATTCAAATACAAAAATCGTGGAATCATTGCTGGTATATCCATCCTTCATAAATTAATTGAAACGGGATATAATAACTTTTGGAGCACAAGATGACATAAAATAATCGCCATTACTTGTCCAATATGGCGCAAATGTATGATGTCATATACTGGCCAACGTTTTGAAACAATCACCAGTATGGCGTCAATTTATAACGTCATTTGCATTGGCAATTATACTGGGTTCTATTTCGGAACACGCCCTAAATTGTTGATTTCATGATAATGATGATGAATTTAAAGTAATTTTTAAATTAACAATTAACAAATAATTGCATATGTTATATTGTTTATTACAGCCTAGCTGCAACTATATTATGGTTGTTGCATAGATGGGTCGGCTCGACTGGGGCAGTACCGTGCTCTCTCAACCCGGGTTGCTCGGGTACTGAAATTTACAGCGAACGCTTAGCACCTGAGTTACCACGGCTCATTGTAGAATACCAACATAAAATAGAAGCTTAATGCTGCTGTGTAGAGAACCAGAGACCCATTTTAATAGATATGTGAGATTCTATCTTAGTCCTGAAGATTGACAACGCATCTGCATTGTTACTTTTTATCAAGTATAAAATTATGGGCCATAGCATTCACGTACTATCAGCTGCACTATGTGCTCGTTTGTCACCGTTATTCTATAAAAAAAGTGATTATTTACTCTCCTTATATCCAGGTGGCTTAGAGAAATTTGAAGTTCCCGCCGCAGTTAAACTGTGCACAGAAGTTTGGTCACCCGACATGGGGCTGGTGACTGCCGCGTTCAAGATCAAGAGGAAAGACATCCAGGAACGTTACAAGGACGACATCAAGCGGATGTACGCCTCGTGAGACCAAACCACCGGCCGCTATTAAAACCTCGTACCGACGTATTCCACATAGCGGCTGTCTCTAGTCGAGAAAGAATACGAACAAAACCTCCATCGAAATTGTGTTTTGTGCAGTTGATGGAGTGAATATTTGCTTAAAATAGTTCAGTGATCTTCATATTTCAGCTATTTCTCTTCTGGTTAGATCCAATGTTAAAATGATTTTATCGGTCATATGGTTGAGTAGTTCTCATTTTGATGTTAATACAATTGATGTTCTCGATGTATCGACTTTGAGAAAAAATAATGTAGATGATTATTTAGTATGTAAATGTAAATTAGCTTAGTGTTACATTTTGTTATCATCCATTTGTCTCAACATCAAAATCTGAAAGATACTTCGAAATAAAGTTGATAATTTTTTTTCGCTTATAACTTTAATACGTAAAACCTCTGTGAGGTGCCATTTGTGCAGACTATAATAAAATTTATTACAATGAAAATATTTTGTTGTTACGGTGCGGTTTCATTTCAGCGGCGAGCATGTTTCAAACGTAATATTAGATTTCTAATTGTTATATGCGTTGTTTGTAAATTAAGAATGTTCAATTCCATTGGGACAGAGATTAGGCCTGATTTTTATAAGATGATTTGTATATTGTGCAGTGCATCACATAGTAAACATTGTATAAATAAACCTATGTTGTACGGCTAAATATAGATATCATTTAGATAATATGTTAGGTGTTCCATAGTGGGAACTTCTTTAAAATGATAATAATGTTCAACTATTATGTTTCGATCGGTTTTAAGTTTCTATATTTAAAAAAAATATAAGCTCTGTACATAATAATTTATGTGTAAACATTTAAATTGTAGAGTGATTGTGGTTGGTGTGCGAGTGGGTATGTAAGCTCGGACCCAACAACTTAGCTTTTCTTGTCACAATAAAACGAGTTATCACTTATATAATTAACATAATAATATTAATAGATCTGAGATCAAACGATGTTATCTAGTAGCAAAGTGGGATTAAATAGTCTGAACTCACAGCGGGCGGTTTAAAATTTAAACAAGTTGCATGATTTTGTATAAAGAGAACTTTACAAATATATTTCGGCGTTTGTGGGGTATATATAGGTTATTGTTCAAATGTACCACCGCTCGTTGTGATGTCTAAATGCTGTATATATTGGCCTAGTATTTCAGATATGTAGTTAAAACTGTGTTCCATTCAACAAATGCGATTCTGTTACCAGATTAAACTTGAAATAAATATTTTTGCATTTTGTAAAATGGAATGGCTTGGTCACCAAAATTCGTATTAGTAATTTTAACACAAGAAATAATTATGAGTAGTCAAATGATTTATTTACAAAACAATATAATTTCAATGATTGTGACCAAGTTTGTTGTATGAATTCTTTTTAAAGTAAGTTAAGTGTATAGTACTTAGGGGATCGGGGATTACCTTTGCATTGTAATTTTATTCGCATAACAAAACCCTTTGTTTCACGCCTGAATCAACAAGCGGAGCGTCGTGTACCATACGTTTCAAACGCATTAGTAGATAGAAATTGCGGATACGCTTTTAGATAGTCTGTTGCAATTAAAAGACTTAGTGTGGGGATTTTGGAATTTTGGAAATTTAATTTCGTTTCTAAATATTTTATACCAAATTGTCTACACTAGGCTTTTAAAGTCGCAATTAATGTGTTGTATATTCGAGGCGGACTAAGCTTGTTGATGAGTTGTAAGCTGTAATATTTTAATAACAAATTTATTTGGCGTTATATTTCTTTGGACGCATTTTATTAAGCATTTAATCCATGTGCAATTACGAAAAATTTGTCAATAACGGTGACAATGGTTTTCTGAAAGTTATGAAAAAATAAAACCAATAGTAACAATACAAAAAAATAGAATTGTGTTTAAAAAGTATAAAAAATGTTCAACACTGTCGAAATATTTAATTTATTATTTTTATAATATAATGAGTAACTCTCCTTAGCATGGGAAAGTTTTATTCAAAACTGAAATTTATTCTAAATATAATATTCTTTGTAGCATAATATAATTATACCGTGTAAATGTTACTGTGACATGTTGCATGATATTTTTCGATGTAATACTTTTAAATTGAATACTAATCAAATGTTTCATGATGTTGGTAGGAGTTCATTGCTCATTTTCTTTTGCATTTTAAATTATTGAAAATTACAACCGTAAACCAATTTTGTATTATTTATTCAATAAATGTTAATAAAATCAAGCATGTGCTTTCATTTCGTTTCGCACGCTAGTTGTTCGTGAAAAGGCGAACGTTTAAAACTGAGGAGTAACAGAGAACTCTTATAAAAGACGTATGGATAGCATAATATTTTTTATTAATTATTAGTCAATTATTAACAATACGAACCTATATTTCTATGACTATAAACAATGACTGAGAATTACTGATAAAAATCATACATTGTACAGGGAGACACGTTACCAGGCCTCTGTCACTTTTGCTACTTGTGTGTTTTTTTTGTTTTTTTTTTTACATTAGCTCGAACTCGCTGGATTAAATTTTTAAGTTTTTAAATGGCTTCAATAAACTATTATTAGGTAATAATAATTTATGTTAACGTATGTCTTACCATATAAATATATGTCTAACTTACAAAATTTACATTTAAGAAATATATTTATTATTCGGATCATAGCAATCAAATCAAATCAAATAATTTTATTTTTTTTCTAGAAAAAAATAAAATTTCACATTATTTCTTAAATAATACGGTTGTAGATAATGATGGGCGGGCGGTCGTGCGTGCGTGCGCGTGTGTGTGTTTGTGTGTGTGTGTGTGTGTGTGTTTGTGTGTGTGTGTGTGTGTGTGTGTGTGTGCGTATGTGCGTGCGTGCGTGCGTTTGTGTGTGTGTGTTTTTTAGGATAATACTCTCAGTAAATTTTCAGCATCCATATAATCGATATTTAGCAACCACTTCTGTAATTTTTGTTTACATGCATGTTTTGGTAGAGAGTAAATTGACAAAAGTTTATTTAATTTGTTATAAAGGTAATTTCCCAGGAAGCAAAAATGCTTATGCGAAAGTTTTGTCTTTAAAAGCTTACTGGGACAAACTACATATTTCCTTCTTTTGTCATTATTATAAGAGGACTCATACTGTATAAAAGAATGTTGTAGCAGCGTAGTGTGCAATATAAACAATTTACGAACAGATAGGACATTACAATGTTGATAAAGGTCAGTTGTAGGACAACGGAATGGAAGAGAATTGCTAACTTTTAATAGTGCCCTCTGAGCCCTTTCTAATTGCAATATGGTCGTTTTAGGTGCTCCTCCCCAGATGGTAATGCAATATGTCAACAATGATTGGCACAGTGCAAAATATACCATTTTTCTTACATTAAAATCTGCAACACGACGTAGATTTTTAAAAATATAAATTAACTTACGTATCCTTGTACTTAGAGACCAATATGAAGGTGAAAGCTTAGGGTGTTATCTATCATTACGCCAAGATATTTTATGCAATTCGTTCTAGACAGGGTAGGACAGGAGCAAGGGCTTTCAATTTGGGAGCAGCAGTGAGCTGTAATGTGAAAGTATTCTAACTCAGATACATTGATATTTTGGGTAGTAAATGTTATGTATTTTGTTTTATCGACATTTAATGTAAGTTTATATTCTTTTAGCCATTTAGTTATTAAATCGAACCCATTTTGTTTGAAGTTAAATACCTCAGACCATGCAATAAATATAGGGCTTAAAAATATTAGGTCTATGTAAATTTAAGCTGAAAATTACAAGTTTTTAACTGAGCTTTGATCAACCAATTCAGTCATTTTTGTAATTTCATATGATTATATAATTCTAGTAATAAGATTTTAAATGAAGGAAATAATATTACTTAAGACGGCAACATTGAGTGCGCCATCAGTCGCGCGCAGGATTATCTTGCGCGCTCTATACAATCGCGAGCGGTCTGAGTCTAGTGGATTCTACCGAATGTCTGAGCCATGGAGATTAATGAAACATCCAGCCACGGAATATAAAAAACAAGTCTATTCCAAATACTATAGATAATATATTTATAGGGCACCGAATACCACAAACACAGAGTATTTTAATACTTTTATATGCCGAATACCTCCGCTTATGGAGTGTAGAGGTAAGGAGTACAGACTCTGTATAAAAAAGTGTCCGTAGGAAAGCGCTAAATAGGTGACGACACTGCAGCTACAGTCTAAATTTTAAAGTATTTTTATAATTTTTATTGCATAATAGACTTTCACCATAATTCTTTTTACAATAATTATTTTATTGCTTTTTATATATTATGCTTTATTTTTATTTTCAAAATCACTCAACGTACGTTACGGCGATTTATCATACCCTGTAGCTACTCGAGCGCTGTTGTGGAGAGTTTTTGAACTGTTGTTTACTGCTTACAGAAGGACATATTTTCAACTATTCTCATATGGGAGATAGTCCTCCTTACCTCTATACTCCATGCCTCCGCTAGGAGTAACAGCACAGAATAAATAATAGTACTACCTACGGTAATAGTTAGTAACAGTGTTCTGTGCCGAACACAGATACTGGTCAGTTAACTAAAGCTGGCATGTTCAGAGTACTCATACTGTGCGATTTCACTATACAGTATGTTTAAAAATAAATGATTTTGATTCAAAATACGACTCTAGTCTAAGTGTAGACCAGAGTTAGGTTTTATTAAGATTGGGTGCGTTGTGGAAAAATAAAAAAATATTTGTGCTGCTTGCTATAATATATTATGATTATTACATTATTGATTTTAATCAGAATCGTAAATTAAATCTTCTACCCCACTCAAACTTTCATCGCTCGAAGAACTTGATGTTTCGCCGTCAGAATTTCCTAGTGTTATTATAAATGAGTCAGTGATATTATCCACTTTTGGTTCCAGTTGAATATATTTTTCCTCATTTTCTCGCGTCTTTCTCCAAACGTCACTAAACATATCAAGAGTAGTAGAATCTGCTTCTTTTCTAAATAATTCTTCCACAGTTTTCAAGTTAAACATTTTGTGATGAAACTTTCCCTTTAATTATACCCCATAGTAACTCTATTGGGTTGAGTTCTGGATGGTAGTCGCAATACACTGTGTCCGTGATCTTGGAGGATTTTATCAAGTGCAAATTGTACATTGTTTGGCTTATTTTTTTTTTAATTTCATATAGCATATAATATTTTGTGTTTCTTTCTGGATATGTTATATTATATTTCTCCAACCAAGCTAACACGTCACTTTTTCTTAAATTCGATGCGGGCACTGGATCCGTCATGATGTTGTGGTACGATGCATTACTGACTACTAAAACTGACAGTGGCGGTAAATTTGGAAAAAGTTTTTCTTTAATCCATTTCTGACAATTACCAGCATTCATATTACTGTGATAATCTCCCGTTTGGTTTTTTGCTAGATAAGCACTATAAGCAAGACTGCGCGAGAGAGAGACGGGCAGACTTTTCATGATGCGCATGCAGTGCGACGTCACGCCGCACACACTACACAAGGGCAACGTGTAAATATTGTTACGAGCGTAGGGTTCGTGACAATAAAAACTGCCGATTGAATTACCAAAATTGACACTTTAATTACCAAAACACCAATTAAAACTTAAAACACACTAATAATTAATCACACTTAACACTTTAGTTCACTTTATTTCGCTCCCAAGTCTTCGCTTGAATCGCCAATTCAATATTCATCCGGTCGCGTCACATACTGGCCTTATATAGGACCTTTTCTACTGAAAACATCTACATACAATGTTCGAGTAGAATGTCGAAAGATCTAGCAAAGAATCCCCCAGAAAGCCCTCGCCACTAGATGGCGCTAGTGGGAAAGTTCTAGAAAGATCTTATTTTTGCTACTTGATACATACGTGGTAGAGCCACGCTGCAGCTGTATTATAGTTGTATCACGAATGGGTCGGCTCGACCGGGGAAAGACCACGCTCTCACAGAATACAAGCGTAAAATAGCAGCTTATACTACTGCTGTGTTTCGTATGGTGAGTGTAGAAATCCGGAGACCCTTTTTTACTGGTTACGAGGCATTCCATCTTAGACATCAAGGATGACAACGCACCTGCGTTTTGATTCTTAATCGAGGATAAATGTAAATGTTTATGGGTCACAGCATCCACTCACCATCAGTTAGACTGTGTGCTCGTTTATCAACCGCCATATACCGGGCTCTAATTATGGCGCGCAACAATATGTTGAACGTGCCAGCTTTAGTGAACTGATCTTTAAGTGTATAGTGCCGAATATCCAGTCGGGGCTAGCGCCAAAAACTATAATAAATAACTGCCACTTTACACACCTTAAAGCCACTGCACACACTAAAGAGGCCACTGCAAGCGAACAGCTGATAACCGCAGCCACAGAGTTGCGCATCGGTCACTGACCCGCTAGCTCTGCCCATTTGTTGTTTGATGATGATTGTCAAATTTTATACAGCTTTTAAACAAAGACTATGTCTCAAGTTTTGCATAGTAGTTTGAGTATTGATGCTTTGAGGCTTGGATGAAGCATTAGCATAAAACTGCATGTTTGGAAAAGCTACTCTTAAAATATGACGATTACGTGCGAAGCGCTTGGCCGTGTGAACGCCTCTTATTGATTGTCTCTCGTGCTTTAAGTGACAAGAGGCCCTTTTGAGTTTTGAAACGCTAAGAATGTGTGACCCGAGAGGGGATCGCTTCGTTATGTTAGATATAGATTAATTGTGCGCGTATACCGGGACGAGTAAAGTATGAATAGAAATCGGATATGTTGATTGTTAGTCGAGCTTACTGTGAGAGTTTGCGACATTTTACATTTTTACGATGTAGCTCTTAAAATGTGTTTGAAACGACGAAGACATCAATACTAAAACGTAATTATAATTTAAACGTCTTTGATCAACTTGGTTTTAACTAAATATATAGTTACAAGTAAAACACGCATAGGGACAATGTGATTGAAATGTGTTGACATTGGGATTTATGTAGGCAATGAATTAATGGTAATTTATGTAAACAACAATTAATTATTTAATGTTTTATTGTGTAAAACAATTATCAAGCGTTACATAACACTTACATACAGTAATCATGTATACTTGTATCATGTGCCCATGTTATATAATTTAATATACAGAGGTATTCACATTATGTATATTCCTATATAATTGTTAGGTCTGCTTGAAATCTCTCCAACTTTGCTTTTTCTTAAGTTGTCTCAACATGCCTTCAATGTTAATTCCTTTCATTTCTAATCTTACATGTACAACACACTACAACCCAAAATCGAGTCAGGTTCCTAGAAATTCATAAGAGTAGGAGTTAGATTTTTCCTTTGGTAGGTTAAGCCCAGTGTTCCTTTACGCAGCACTCATCTTGCACAAGTGTCTAAGTTGCATGATCTTGATGTCGTCCGTTCCAAATTTAACGACTCCTTCTTGGTTCTCTATTGAGATGAGTTGTCCTACAGCTTCACGGTCCTCGCCCGCAATGACCTGCATAATTAGAATATACAATAAACTTAATTTTTTAACGTCTTGATTGTATTCAATCTAAGAAGATTAGTTATCATCTTATGAAATTTTTTACGGTCTTTGGTTTTGGTCAAATTATTACAAATTGAAAAATTATTAAGAAGCCATTCAGTCCATATTTTTTTTTTGTAATTTTGTCATCATGGGCTATAAACTATACTGGCTTTCTTACAACTCAAACCCGAAGACAGCAGTGTGTGGCTGCTTGCCATCAGAAATAGATGAGACGGTGGCCTGACTGTTGGCTATAATACCTAAACAGTATAATAATAACTAAGTTTGTAAGGCTGAAGCATCATCGCAGTACCAGACTTGTTGAACTTACACATCTAGGTTGTAGCTATAAGTGTGATTGTGCTTATGCAGGATCGTATATGGGCGAATGTGTATGCCGTGCTTATGGATGCAAAAATATGATAGTGTTTGTGTGCTTGTGCATGTTTTGTGTCAGTGTTTGTACATGTGCAGTGTTCCTCGCGCGGCAGGATCACCCCGCAGGCGTGTAGTGTACAGTGTAGTGCGCAGTGTCGAGTGTGTGCGAGTGACCTTGACGCGGTCGCCGGACTGCGGCACGACGGGCTCGAGCACCCGGCGGGGCGACACGACGCGCTCGTCGCGCTGCAGGAACACCGCGCGCAGGAACACCGCGCAGGAGTGTAGTGTACAGTGTAGTGTGTAGTGTCAAGTGTGTGCGAGTGACCTTGACGCGGTCGCCGGACTGCGGCACGACGGGCTCGAGCAGCGACACGACGCGCTGCAGGAACACCGCGCAGGCGTGTGGTGTACAGTGTAGTGTGTAGTGTCAAGTGTGTGCGAGTGACCTTGACGCGGTCGCCGGACTGCGGCACGACGGGCTCGAGCAGCGACACGACGCGCTCGTCGCGCTGCAGGAACACCGCGCAGGCGTGTGGTGTACAGTGTAGTGTGTAGTGTCAAGTGTGTGCGAGTGACCTTGACGCGGTCGCCGGACTGCGGCACGACGGGCTCGAGCAGCGCTGCGGGCAGCGACACGACGCGCTCGTCGCGCGGCAGGAACACCGCGCAGGCGTTTAGTGTACAGTGTAGTTCGCAGTGTCGAGTGTGTGCGAGTGACCTTGACGCGGTCGCCGGACTGCGGCATGACGGGCTCGAGCAGCGCTGCGGGCAGTGACACGACGCGCTCGTCATGCGGCAGGAACACCGCGCAGGCGTGTAGTGTACAGTGTAGTGCGCAGTGTCGAGTGTGTGCGAGTGACCTTGACGCGGTCGCCGGACTGCGGCATGACGGGCTCGAGCAGCGCGGCGGGCAGCGACACGACGCGCTCGTCGCGCGGCAGGAACACCGCGCAGGAGTGTAGTGTACAGTGTAGTGCGCAGTGTCGAGTGTGTGCGAGTGACCTTGACGCTGTCGCCGGACTGCGGCATGACGGGCTCGAGCAGCGCGGCGGGCAGCGACACGACGCGCTCGTCGCGCGGCAGGAAGATCGCGCAGGCGTGTAGTGTACAGTGTAGTGCGCAGTGTCGAGTGTGTGCGAGAGACCTTGACGCGGTCGCCGGACTGCGGCACGACGGGCTCGAGCAGCGCGGCGGGCAGCGATACGACGCGCTCGTCGCGCGGCAGGAACACCGCGCAGGCGCCACCCGCCAGCGAACGCAGCACTCCCGTCTGCCCGCGAACGCCCTCTTCCGCAGACGCCGAAACGCGCACCTACGTACACACGTTACGTAATAAAATCCCACACCATCAACTTTTTTATATAGAATATGGGTGACCACTTGATGGTAAGTGGATGCTGTGGCCCATAAACATCTAGACTTTTCCTCGATTAAGAATCAAAATACAGATGCGTTGACACTCCTGAAGACTAAGATGGAACGCCTCGTTTACACTCACCATACATAACATAGCTGCATTTTGACGTTGGTATTCTATGAGAGCATGATCCTACACCGGTCAACCCGCCCCATTCGTGCTATCTCGGCAATACCACATGTAAATGTCAGGTGACCGCAGGTTTCATACTATACGTCAAAGTATCTATTCACCGGCTCGCACTATGATACTGTGAGTATAGTGACTAAAAAATCTTGATCTTCCATTATACAAGTATTTCTTAGGGTGGAGTTCAGTGGATGGAAAATTTTTGGTGCATCATTTTTATGATAGCTAATTAATTTATTATAATCTATTTGATATATTTTTCATTATTTATGAACCTTAATGTTGAAATAAGTACACATAAATATTTTAATTGTTTCACAGTAATCGATTGTTAACCGATGTTGGTTAATAATCGATTATATCTACTAACGGTAGCATAGTGGTATAAATAAATAAATAGTACTGTTGCAACATATTTTAAGAAATAAATTATCTAACTGTAAGTAATATTTTTTTAATCGGTACTTACAGTCAATTACCATATGTTTTATTATAAAAATATTTGCCGCAACGGCATTGACCGATCTTATCTCGAGTCAATAATTTCAGGCAGTACG